GCAGGAATGCATTTATGATCATGCATTGCCTAAGTCTGTTTTTATTTCTCGTTTTCTGGAAAATGCAGCGGTAATCCCTTTAGAATTCCCCTCAGCTTAAATCTCAGAGGCTGTTCACGGCCGCCTCTTAATGTCTCAAGAGTACTTCAAGTTGCGTAAGCCCCATATTCAACAGGTAAAGCCCACTTTGTTCTATAGACATGGCTGGAAATAATGTGAAATTAAAGATTTAATCTTCTGGGCCAACTCAGCCTTTCCTTAGTCCGTCACAAAGGAACTGAAAAGTCTAGCACCTTTTCAGGGAGTAGAAAATTCTTTGATTGGCAGGGCCGACTGCATTGATCCCCAAAACTATGTTGCTAAAAATTTTATTAATACAATTAGGCAAAGAGGCTGCTGCACAGTGCTAAATGTTGGGGGAGATTTCATTTCATGATGAAGTTTGCTCCTATTATTAACCTAATTGGCAGGGTCTATGCGCAGGGGGAAGAAAGGAATCAAGCTTTGGTGACAAATTAGGTACCTTTTTTTCTGCTCACAAGAAAACCCCAACTCTACCAACACAAATTAGAAGTGGCCGTCAAAGCAACATGGATATGAGAGGACAGGATTAGAGGAGCAGAGATTATGGCGGCTGAATGTGCTCTTTGTGAATTCCAACACCAGGCATTGCTAGGCTTTCTAACGGAAGATGCTCTCTCTAGTCTATAATTTGAATTAGTTTCCCATATTCAGCAACTTTTTGAAACATAACAGAAAAACAACAAGAAATATCTGTTACTGAGTTTCTGGAACACTAGCCCACAAACACACTTTTTAGAGTTTATCCCAATGTCCTGACAGTGAGTCCCAGGGCAGGACAGTGTTGGGTGTCACCTTGGTTCCCTCTGCCCTCTGCTTCCTGCCACCGTGCTGTCCTTAGGGATCCCCAGGAGGGAACCTCTCTCTCTCCTACAGGAGAATTGGAGAGCAGTGGGAGAGGGAAGTACTGACATTTGCTGAGGTGTGGGGATTTTCAGGGACAGAGACTCACCAAGGACCACCGAGGTGGGGTCAGTGGGGGTGGGGAATTGACACATGGCCGTGATGGAGTCACGTTAAACACGTGCCCATGGATGGGGCACCCTTCACCCCACAAACACCTGTGCAGGTGTTTCACCCCACGAACACGTGTGCAGGCATGAGGGCCTTTTGCTGGAGAAGAAAGGAGATGTGTCTTGAATACTTGACTGTAGATTTCACTGGACTGAGCGTGGACGGCTGCCACTTAGAGCAAACGGACGCTGGTATACAGCCTAGGAAACCTCAAGCCAAGCCATGTGCCCTCCCCAGCGGCCACATGTTGCAACTAACATACATGTGAGCATCCCGCACCTGCTGAGCTGGCCCCAGAATTCAATCTATCGGAGCCCAGGAATCCTCAGCCCACTGGAAGAGCACAGGCCTGAGGAGCTTGTTTATACTGAGGAGCTGGAGACAGCAGCCCAGACTGCACCAGCAGCGCCTCATGAACAAGACAAATTAACGGGAAATCTGAAATAATCTGAGCAGATCTCTAGTCATAAAAACTGGATACATTACTGCAAAAATAATTAGTGAGCAAGAGAGAATAGAAAGAAAGTGGAACATCTAAATTGGATTACATTAGAGGAAAAAGGTGGGTGACTTTACAAAAATTTAACTTGCCTCCTCTGGTGTTCCCCCACCTCCAGATACCTGGGTCCAGGAACCTCTGAAATTGTGCCACTGTGGTCACCACCCAAACCACTCTGTTGGGCTGACCTGCCCTCGGAATCATGGGAAGCGATGCGGACTGGAGACTTCCCTCGACTGCGCTCTGAATCCTGGGCTTGGCACATCCTCACGGAAAGCTTCGGATGCACATAGTTTTACCCGAAAACCTGCAGCTCAGTAACACACACGTGAACTTCACACACTCCAGCACCCAGGTCAGCTGGAGCGGTTGATCCAGGGGTTCCATCTCCCTCTCTGGGCTCTGAGTGAGTCATGCGGCTCAGAAACTGTTTAAATAATCAGTGTTCAGATTTAGATCCTGAATGCTAAGTCCAAACATGGGGTCTACACAGCCACAGACCCTTTCGAGTAGACCCCAGTGCAGTCGCCTCACTGGCCAGGGATGCCAGCTGGTTAACACTCACCCAGGGGAACACACACCCAGGGGGGCACGATTAGTTCATTTCAGCCAGTGCATATACAGTAGTTTACCACCGCTTAACAAACCACACTCAAAACTCGAAACATTGTGGCAGAAAAACAGTTTGCAACTTCTCGCTATTCTGGGCGGAGCTCAGCTGGGTGTTTCTGCTGCCACGTCCATCACCCACCGTCCAGCTGCCCGTCGAGGCTACAGCAGCCGAGCTGGCCCAGCCCTTCTCTCTCTCTCCATGAAGACATCCACATGCCTAGCCTGGGCTTTGTACTCTTTTCCTGGTGCTGCTGCAACCAAGTTCTGCCAAGCAAGTGGCTTGAAACAACAGAAATTCATTCTGTCCCAGTTCTGGAAGCTAGAAGTCGGAACTCGAGGTGTCACAGAGCCGGGCGCTCTCTCAAGTCTGGCGGGTCCAGAAGTCCTGGGCACTCCTCAGTTTGCAGCCGCATCACTGCAATCACTGCCTCTGTCGTCACCTGCCACCTTCCCGCTGTGCCTGTGTCTCTTCTCTTCTTAAGGATGCCGGAGTCCACTCGACTCCAGTGTGCCCTCATCATAATTCACGTCTTAATTACATCTACACAACCAAATAAAGCCACATTTATTTCCATCTGTTTCCAAACTAAGCCACACTCACAGGTGCCAGAGCCAGGACCGGAACGCATCCCCTTTTGGGGACACCACTCTGCACACAGCAGGCTTCCTTCAGCAGCTTGGTGGCCTCAGGGTGGGACACTCACACAGGCAGCGGCCCCAGGGGGAGCAGGGCAAGAGCAGAACAGCAGTAGCGACTAGGAGGCCCAGCCTGAGAAGGGTGGACATCACGTCCCCCACAGGCCAGCCCTGGCCAGACCAGGAGGAGACAGACTCTCTCTCTCCGGGTGGGGGCGGAGCAAAGAATCTGCTCCCGCCTCTAATTCTCACACTCGACACTGGAAGCAGCGTCATCAGAGAGAACATCCAAGAGACTCAGGCTCTGTGTGCTCACAGGGTCTGGGCAAGCGGCCGCTGTGGCCGCTCTCGCTCTCTGACCACCTGTCTCCAGCTGCCTCAGTTTGAGCGTCTTAACAAAGGATTGATCCCACCGTGCTTTTCACATTCAAAATGTGCAGTCTTTCCAGTTTTACTGAGATATAATTGACACACAGCACTGAATAAGTTTAAGTATGCAGCATAATGACTTGACATACGTATATTGCGAAATGATCACCACAAGTTTGGTTAACATCCGTCATCTTGTAGAGTTACAGTTTTTTTTTCTTGTGACAACTTTCTCGTGACCTACTCTCTTAGCAACTTTCAACTGTACTGTAGGCTATTATTAACTATAGTCCCCATGCTGTAGACCACATCCCAGGGCTTATTTATCTTACAGCCGGAAGTTTGTACCCTCCGACCCCTTCACGCAATTCCCCTGCCACCCCCACCCTGATAACTACAAATCTGACCTCTTTTTCTATGAGTTTGCTGTGTGTGTGTGCTTTCAGATTCCACATATGAGATCATATGGAATTTGTCTTCCTCTGTCTGACTTATTTCATTTAGCATAATGCCCTCCAGGTTCATCCATTTGTCACAAATGGCAGGACTTCTCTCTTTTTTGTGGCTGACAAAATTCTGTTGTATATATATTTATTACATTTTCTTCATCCCTTCATCTGCCGGTGGACACTTAAGTTGTTTCCATGTCTTGGCTGTTGTGACTAATACTGCTACGAACATAGGGGTGCAGAGAGCTTTCCAACTTAGTGTGTTCATTTCCTTCAGATATATTCCCAGCAGCAGGATTGCTGGATCACGTGGTGGTTCTATTTTTAATTTTTTGTGGAACTTCCACCCTTTTGTCCTTAGTAGCTGCACCATTTTACATTTGCACCAATAGTGCATTTGTGCTGATGTAACCTCAGTAATTCAGCAAGTAACACTAGCCTGTGAGGCACCAGGGAGAGAAGCAGCGCAGAGGACCAGCCCTCTCTCCTTCAAAAGCTTAAACGAGACACAGGCACAGAGAACCAGCCCATACGAAGGCTTCTGCAGCAAACACTATCCAACAGTCTGCTGGAGACGCCGGGGATACAGAAGGAGTGAGCACGTCCATCAGCCTTGAACTGTCCACCATGTTACCAACAGGACAACCTGAGAGCATTACAAACTCAATGTACAATAAAATCCATAGCAAAGCGCCAAACTGACAAAATAAGGGGCCAAAATATGTAACGTAGACCATAAGTATTAGAGCCAGTCAGCAACACAAGGCATGTGTGCATGAAATGATTACAGATCGATAGAGCGCATGTCATGTCTGTCAGTGTCGAGGGTGTGCGGAACTGCTCCCATGCCTCATTCCTGTTGAAAATGTGGAAGCATCATAGAAATAATCACGAACAATTCCCTGTGTCTATAATATACAAAATGCAAACCAAATGCTGAAAACGGAAAAATTTGGTCATGCCAATTACAATATCTCACTTACGCAGTATCATCAGAAAATGAATTATCCAGGTAGCTAAAATTTACCCAATTTACAAAGAGGAGAGGGTGCATGAGGAGGGGGTTGCTTTGGTTGGGCGCATAAGACTCATGTGCTAGAGCGGTTTCCTCCATGTTTTCTGGAACGGCAAACTGAGACTCAGTGTCTTATTCTTTGCTCACCACCTTCTCACAACAGATTTCTTGTCCCTACAGAACAGTCACAAGTGAGACTGTGAATTTCTCATCCTTTGGCTGGATGACACTGTCCCTGCAATACACAGTCTCTCTCAGAAAAATGGGAAGAGGGAGGAACTTCCTCAGCTTGATAAAGAGCACCCACAAAGCCCCCACAGCTTACACTACACTGACGGATGAAGGACCGGATGCTCCCATGGCGATCAGGAGCAAGCAGAGGTGTGCTCTCTCACCACTTCTGTTCAACACGGTGCTGGAAGTTCTGGCCACTGCAATAAAGTAAGAGAAGGGAATAAGAGGCATACAGACCGGAAAGGAAAGAAAAGACAGGCTCCGTTTAGAGATGACATGATATGTAGAAAACCCCAGCAATGAACAAACAACTCCTAGGACGAATAGATGAGTTCAGTAAGTTCCCAGGAAACAGAATAAACACCAAACATCAGTTGTGTGTCTACACACCAGCAATGAATACCTAGACACCAATATTAAAAATATAACACCATTTACAATTGCTCCAAAATTGGAATACTTGTGAGTAAATCTGATGAAACATGCACGAGACCTGGACATTGAAAGGCACGTCATGTCCCTGGGTGGGAAGACTCAATGGAGCAAAGACGTCAATTTTCCCCAAATTGATAGGTTTTAAGACAACTCCTATCGAAGTCCCAGCAAGAGTTTTCTTAGAGACAAGCAAGATTAGTCTAAAATTTACAAAGAAATGAAAACGAACTAGAGTAACTGAAAGATTTTTGAAAAAGAAGACTCACGTGCAAAGAACCCACGAACCGGTTTCGAGACTTGCAGCGTGGCTGCAGTGGCCAGCACTGTGTGGAGCCGCTGGAGATGGATGCACCGATCCACGGAACGGAATAGAGAACCCGGAAGCAGACCCGCACAAACGCGCCCAACTGATTTTGACCAAGGCGCAGAGGGAATTGAACGGAGGAAGGACGGCCTTCTCTACAAACGGTGCTGGAGCAACTGGACATTCATAACCGAGAAAAATAAACCTCAACCTAATTCCCACGCTTGACACAAAAATGGATTGTGGGCTTAGATGGAAACCGTAAAACTTTAGGGAAAAAATATGGGAGAAGATCTTCAGGATCCAGGCCTGAAGTGTTCTCAGACTCGACAGCAAAAGCATAATCTATAAAAGAAAAAATTGATAAGCTGGACTTCATAAAAATGAGTAGCTTTTGCTCTGTGAAAAGCCCTGTTAAGAGGATAAGACAAGCTACAGAAAAAGGGAAAATATTTGCAAACCACCTTCTGACAAAGGACTGATGTCTGGAATACATAAAAAATTGTCAAAACAACAGGAAGAAAAAAGCTAAGCAGAACAAACAGCCCAATTATAAAATGGACGAAAGAAATGAAGAGGCATTTCATGGAAGAGGACAGACAGTTGGCAAGTAGGCTTATGAAAAGCAGTTGTGCAGGACGTTACCACTGTGGGAAACTGGGTAAAGGGCACACAGATCTCTCTGTGTTATTTCTTACAACTCTATGTCAACCTACAATTACCTCAAAAAAAAAAAGTTTGATTAAAACGAAGGCTCCGTAGCACAGTGATGGAACAAAGGCTCAAAGTTCTTGAGGTTCAGAAGCTGGCAGAAGTGTCCTCAGTTGGGTTCCTCCGGGTAGCAGGGTTCCGTTCTCTAAGGCAGCATCATGGATCAGCCCTGGAACTTGAACCAGGAGCCCTGGGACCGAAGGCTAAGCCCTCACTGAGCACCGTGCTGGGCAGTGGTTTATACACAGCTGCAGGCTGGTGGACACAGGAAATACAGACACAGCCTTGGACCAGAACCCGACACAAGCCACCTGAGTCCCAGTAACCAGATCTGTGATGTCCCCAACGTCACCAGGGGAAGAGCCTGAGCCACCATTATATGGGCTGGTTCTGGACCAGGGACCCTGGGAGGCTGGGTGGAAGCAACTGAAAACCTGCAAGACAGAGAGAGGTGAGCAGGGAGGAGAATCGACAGCCCAAGAGCAAAAGAGAGAATGCCCCACTCAAGACGAGACAGTGACCAAAAACTCTCGTCCGTGAAGAAAACTAACAGAGAAACTGCCAACGCAGTCAACCTTCAGAGCATGAATTCACTCCAGATGAAATGAAAATCAGAACACTTTTAAAGAGACTTTGAGATAAATTAAGCAATAAAAGTCTGAGATGAAATAATAACAGATGAATAAGAAATGAATCACAGAAATTAATAATACAATCGCTACACAGGTGATTGCACTGTATGTAGTGCAGAGGGCTACATGGCTGGAACGCACATAGATGCTGCACCGCACGGGTCAACAATTGGCCCTTTAGACGCCCCAGTCCCCACGCAGCTTTCCCACCCAGTTTTGTGCCTCCCTGGCCCGGGTAAGTGTGTCCAGCGTTGCCCCTAGTACAGATTAAGAAGCCTGAACCCAGGATTCTGTGATTGGCCCAAACTCACCTCCATAAGACCAGACTTGAGTGCATTCACAGCTGGTTTGGTGCTTTTCCTAGAAACTTGCCAGAGTTGTACATGTGAAGTGTCATTTCCTCTGCTTCCATTTTCCCGCTTTCAGCTCCCTACCTAGAAATTCCTGGGGTTCATCATTTGGACTTCACGCCTAGGGGATGAGTCATCTCAGAGCTGCGTTTACCTCCATCTAATAGGAATTGTGCAAGCTCAGGGGCCTTGATTCAGGAGACAGAGGGGCAGCCGCTGTCGTGATGAAGTGGGGAGGGGTCCTCCACAAGATGATGCCTGGTTGTTGACATTCTTCCTCTGAAGGTCCATCCCGAGGCTGGTTTCTGGGATGGTAGTTGCTGTTTACACATCCTGACGGCAGTTAGAGGACAGTTTCCTCTGGCAAATTTCCAATACAGTTGCTGCTTTTCTTTGGCTGAATCTCTAGGCAGTGGTTGGTTTATCTTTACTTGCTGTCGAAGCTTGGACTTGAACACAAAACCATCATAGATTCATGGGAAGCGGTCCCGATGTAGGGATTCAGAAAAGGATGCTGAGGACTAGGATTTTAAAATGCTGGCTATTGACTTTCAACCCTGTCCACTAACTCTCTGAATCAAGATTAGTCTGGGCAAGTGGGGAGCATGGAAAACTCCAGTCCCACGTCTGGAGACTGTGACCGAAAACTCAGGCCAGTCTGGAGTCTGAATCACAAACTTCAAACTCAGGGACTCAGACACCGTTAGAGCAACTGAGCTGCAGAGACTGGAAGAAAACGCATCTTATCAGGGAGCGGCTAGAAAATAGGCAGGATCCCTAATTCCTGGGAGAAGTAAGGATCCTGCGTTTAGAATTTAAATCAACCAAAAATAGCGGTTGTTACTCTAAGATGCTTAACCATTCTTAGAACCAGTTTCCTTCTGAAAAAAGAAAATTGACTGTGCATGTTACACAAAAATTTGAAAATAACAGAACACCTAAACCACGGTCTGCCCCGATTTGGGGTCGGGGGGGCGTCCGGTGAGCCCTCTGGGACAAAAGCAGGGTGGAGACAGAATTCGCTGCTCCCTCTAATCTCAAAATAATGCTTAACAGGAGCTGGGGTCTCAGGCCAGCCACACATCCCTATTCAGACCATAGTAGCACTGAACATTTTGTTCTTGCATTTATGTCTGTATTTATGTATTTCTGCGTTTGATATGAAGACATTTTAAAGATAAACTACAAATATAAGGTACCCTATTCCGATTTATTAGTTCACCCGAGTGAGCTAGCCTGAGAACCTGACCAGGGCTAATATTTTCCATGAGAAAATGTCTCCTAAGTTACAAACAGCTGACATGCAAATAAACATTTGGAGCCTCACAGGTTTGTTATTTGGAGATTTGTGTAACAATTTTGCCCACAAAGTCGTTGACAAATGCTAAGCATAGAAAACACGGACTCAACTGAAAAATGCACAGAAGCACCTGTAGTTAATTGTCATTAACAGTTACACTGCTTAAACATAAACATGTCTTGGTCTGGCACAAACTTCCCGTGACATAGCCGTGAAGAATAAACACTGGGCATCTCTCTTCTCATCTCAAATGAGCGCAGAGCAAGATTCCCGGACCACCAGATTGGATTCCCTCCGGGAAACACTGAACAAAGTTGTTGTTCCGAGGCTGCCTCTGCTCTCTGTCCTGGATCAGGTAGGAAATGGACCCCGGCTCTCTCCCACTTGACATCAAGGCAATCCCTACAATCTGACTTCTACGCCCCAGTGTCCCCTCGGGCCAGGGGAGTGAGTGTGGCATCTCTGATTCATTTCTAGCCCAGGGTTGCCTGCTTCCAACCCCAGCCCATTGTCATCCTGCCCTACAGACATGGAACCCCCCATTCTGTTTTGCTCTTTTTGGCGGCCATGTGGTCGGTCCCCCAGGTCACAGTGAGCGCATAATCTTCAAGGCCAGGCCTGAGCGTAAAATGACAAGTGCCCAGACCTCATTCATGGGGACAAGAAGCAGAGTTCCCAGTGTCAGCAATTTGTAACTGCACTTCCAATCCTCTCCCACTTGGGGAGGTGGATCTTTCATGAGATGGCTCAAAAGGGAAGTAAATTTATCTGAAACGATAAAGGCAAACAGGACAAGGCCGAGCAGGGCGGCGTGTTGCTTGAAAAGGGACTTACATGCCGGAGACTCCGGCTCCCCAGGAACGTTTCCATAGACATATGGTTAGCTCTGCTGCTCTCTCTCCAGTGGCCCTGCTCCTGGCCTCCTCCCATTTTTCCCTTCTGCCTTTCCTCTTGGCGGCTCCCATTCTTCCCATCAGACCTGCTCCCTCTCCCACAAGGCCCTCGTTACTTCCAGGGCCCAGTTCCCAGCAAATTTCTCAATTTATTCCAAGGTATAGACATTTACCATGTTACTTTTCCCAAAAAAAAAAAAAAAAAAACTTTTATTTTAAAAGAGAACAGAGAACAAAAGCAAAGGAATGAGTCACTAATGGTGAAATTTTAGGACTCAATAGGTGTTGTTTTGGAGGAGAAGCTGTTCCTTTCCCACCCTCCTGATGCTGTTCCAGGTGGCCAAAGATCTATTTTGCCTCTTCACAAAGCCAGTCTCCCTAAGACATACCCGTTTTTGTGGCTTACATGAATGCAGGAGGCATCTCCGGTCTCTGCTATCCTGAACCAAGACTGGATGTCTATCCGGTCACGCCACCATTGTTCTCCTGGACCGCTCATTCAAGGATGGGAGTGATTCCTCTGTGATGGGGTGGCCTTCCTCCTCATGGGTAGCAAGTAGCCGGGGGATCACCAGGCGTACCAGCAGCGGCACACAGGTGCTACGAGCACTCCACTGGCCTGTTTTACCTTTCTGCAGAGGGAGCTGAGCCCTGATCGCCATCGCGCATGCTCCTGGCGCTGCCCTGAGAAGCACAGGTCCCACTCACGGTGACACCGTCCTTCAATCCTGGCGCTGAACAGCCCTCCTGAGAGCGCTTTCCTCTGGTCCTCGCGCTGATCCCGCTGGATCCCTGAGACCCTGAGAGAAGCAGGAGAGGAATTTGGATCCTCCTTCTGCAAACAAGACATAGTGACCTGCCCGAGGTCACACAGCTCGGTGACACATTTATCACCGGTGTCTAAACCACTGCTCTCTCCCCCGACCCAGCCAAAGCTGCCGCCTCCCACTGATCCTTTCCGAGTTAAAATAATGCTAAGTCGAGGCTGTGGTTATTGGAAATTGATGCTGGAGAAAAGACTCCTGGTCGTCAAGATACAGCTGAGACGTTGCAGTGATAAAGCATCTTTGCCAGAATCCCCCAACACAGAAGGTTAGGAGCACAGCCCGAGGCTCCCTGGACTCCTCACCCTGTCGGGACAAAGGTGTGAGGCGGGCTGGCCTACGGCATTTAAAAAGGAAACGGATTTTCCAGAAATCAGATGTTTTGAAATCATATGCCACCAGGACAGCCAACTGAAAAGGGAAAAGCTCAGTAGACCAGTTGGTCAATACTTGTACGCATCCCTTAAACAGACTCGTGTCGGCTAAGTGGTAGGTGCTAGGCGTCCAGGATTAGACAGTGTGCTCCCTGTCCCCTGGAAGAGCTGCCCAGAACCTTTAACATCAGAGGGTCTGTCCGACCTGAGCAGCATGGAAGCTCCAGGTGTAGGGTGGGTGCACCTGAGCACAGCCAGCACCCAGGGCAAGTCTGGAAAGCTGGTCACAAGCCCGCTCTGCACCCAAGTGACAGCCGGCCTTGGAATCGCACTTCACCCCTGTTTCTGTGGCCGTGAGAAGGTCACGTCTTCTGTTTCTGTCGCCATTTTCTCATCTGTTGGGGAGGAGGACAGCGGCACTGTCTGTTCTGCCCCAGCTCTGTACCAGTTCCCCACTCGGCCTTGGACAGCTCACTCCCCAAGTCCGGACTTAACTTCTGCAGCCGGTCTTAGAGCCCCTGTCTCGGCCGTGGGCAGTGCGCATCGGCCCTCACTCCATGGCACCCTCCCATGTCACTAACATGACCTGGTCACAGTGGACGTGTTTTTCTGGTGTCTCTGTGCCTCCTATCTGGTCTTCGTCATTGGCGAAAGCTACGCTCTTTCTGTACAGACACAAAGGACACAGGACAGCAGGGCTCATTGAGAAGCTCTGCACTTTGCCAGAAACTTCATATCTTTCCCTCAAGCATCTTTACAGCAGGTGCAGGAACGACCGTTCAGAGAGGCTGTCACTGGAGCCAGGAGGGAGCTCAGGTCATCGAGAGGAGTGCGGCCGCGCCTGCAACGAGAGGTCCTCGTGGGAGCAGGTGGACAGGCCTGAATTCACACCGCGGTCTCAGTCACGTGTTCTAGGGCTTGAGAAGGTGCTAAGGGTGCTCCACAAATCCCTACACCATCCCTGACCCACTGGTGACAGCAAGGCCTTCTCCAAGGGACTAACGCCAGCACTGCCACTGCATCATGGGGGCTGAGTGCTCAGGACCCAGCACGGGTGAGCGATGATGGGACCGGGTGGAGAGGGGTTGGCAGAGCCTGCCAGCCATCTGTAGAGTAAGACCAGGAACCAGCAACACCCAGGCCTGGGGGGACCCCGTGGGCAAGTCAGGGCAGCACGAGGAGCCTGGGGGTGGAGGAAGACAGCTACAGAGAGGGACACCAGAGGGACAGGGAGCCCTGAAGAGGAGTGGCGGGAGCTGGGGGAGGACCAGTGCCAAAAACGAGCCGTGTGTCCTCCCGCGGGAGATGGGCCTGCCGCGCCCAGCGAGGACATCACTTGGGTTTCCAGGAAACTAAACTGCCCAGATTTAAGAGCAGGTCCTTCCAGCCTCTTCTCCATACATTGCGGTGGAGAGAGGGGTTCTCATCAGCACAACCTCAGGTTCTTCCAAAATTCCTCAAGCCGCCACGGAGAACGAAGGGCTGGCCCGGTGTGGCTGACGGAAAAGAAACTCTATGCAAAAACGCGTGTTAGACAAGATTCCTGTTTGACTCACTGGGTGGTGATGTGACGGCAACAGGCTAGATTCAGGTCAGGGAAACTCCCCGGCTCAGGAGAAATTGCAAAAAGACGGCGAGGCACAGCGAGGCAGGAGCGGGCTGCGAGCGGGCAGAGGCCCCTTCTGAGAACACTGTCCAAACCCGCGGGACGCCTTCCAGCCGGGGACCAGGAAGGTAGAAAGGGAGACAGTTTCTTGTCATCTTGAGCGTAACCAACAAACAGCACTTCATTAAACAATGCTGTGTCGTGGCGACACATGCAATATCATTTAAGTATTTTATCCATATATGCACGTACCGTTTAGGCCCTGCTGGGGGTTTGCCTCCAGCAGTAACTTTTCTAGGATGGATGAATTCCAGCCAACAGGGCTGTCTGGGTTCAGACTGTCTAACACCAGGCGGTGTTTCCTAAACCCATAGCCACGACATCAAGAAATCCTCAGACCCGGGGGTTTGCGCCTTGAGCTGTGCAGAGCCCTGGGGTCTGCAGAGCGTCCTCAGAGACCACCTATGTGGGCAGGCAGCAGAGAACCCGGGGGAAAGGCTCTGCTGTGTCCCCTTCTCCAACCTCCCCTCTGGTCCTGTAATCGCACCACACCCCGGAAGGAAGAGCGGCTTGAGACAGAGGTGGCATAAAACCAAAAGGATTCAGATGTGAATCCACGCCTGGGGTCCCATGTGATGGGTCTCCCTGTGGGAAGTACCTGGGTTTGACCTGGAGGTTGTGGTTGCCATGGTATCAGAGGCCCCAGTGGTGTGGGTGGGGTGCCGGTTCTCCAGCATGTTTGTCTTTTCTTATATAAAAAGCGCTCAAACAAGGAGCCACAGAGATCGGCCGTGTGCAGTGAAACCGAGTCGCCCGAACGCCCATCTAGAATTGTTCCAGCAGCTGCTTCCTGCCTCCTGCCTCCATCAAGCCTGGTCCTTGGGAAGCTGCCTCAGGATTAGCTGGTGGGCGGAGCCGAGTAGATAGACCAGAAACCATTGCCGTTCTTCAGCTAGAAAAAAGGCGAAAGACGAGAGCTAAGACAGGAGAGGCCCCTCCCCTGAGTGCTTTTTCTGGAGTCTCTTCCTTCTCTGATAAGAGCTGTGGCAGAAACGCGACGGGTGAGTGAGCACGTACTTCCAAGAAACGGTCTGGTGACAGCGCCTCCTCGGCCCCCGCGGCCCCACCTCCGTGCACCCCACGTCCCTCATGAGCACAGGCTCCTTCAGAAACCCCCGAGATGCTAGCCCTTCAGGGGTATATTAGAGGTCAGCCTCAATGCCGGCGCATCCCAGACAGGCCTCCACCGAGGCCCTTCCACACAGACGTCCCCGAACTTCTCAGAACGTCGTCCTGACTTTACCGTGGAACCTTGAAAGGCATTGTTAGCATGAGAGTGTTTCTTCCTGCCTACTCCCTTCTCTCCCAGCGTCGTGAGCCCCGGCCATCACTCCAAGGATGTCCTTCCTCACAGCTAATGAAGCCCCCTAACCCACTGGAACATGGGCTCCATGCAAGCAAAGCCCTCCACTCCTGCTCCCTTCGTGTCCCGCCTGTGCTAACAGACTGGGCACCCTCCGCGGGCTTGACATGTCCTGGTTAAACGGATGAGCGGACAAGCAGAGTTGGTGCCCCTTTGGTTTGCGTGGAGGAGCAGAGCCCCTTCACCTGATGGCATTTCTGTCCCCGGCCACAGCAGCTCCAGGTACCCCCGAGAACTTCCCTTCTCCAGGGTCAATGTCTCCAGCATCGTCTTTCTGTTGAATTCTTTTGTCTATCCTTCATTTTCATTTGGAGTTCCCTTCTGCACGTGTTCAAGTTCTCTGAACCAAGAAGAGAGAATTTTCTAGCAAGGCTCTGACTCACAGGAAGTTGATGGGAGGACTCTCACCGACCTCACGGGACATCCTCCAGCTTCTGCGCCTCCAGCAGTCCGTGTTGTCACCACTGCTCCACCCACCCTGTTCACTCCTGGTCCATCTCTGTCCTTCCCTCCTGGGCCGACACACCGGCCAGCCCCGTCTGCACTTACACCAACCACTCCCAGCCCTGCTGGGCCTCGTGCAGTGCTCCCTCCCCGGTCCTTCCCTCGGTCCAAACTCCCTCTTTGACCTTTTCTAGCTACTAAGCAAGACAGTCAGGATCTAGTCAGGAAAACAGAACTCACATCCAGTTTTAACAGAAACATCAATATAAAGAGTCGACTAACATAAGGAATGGATTAAACAGGACTGGAGAGCTGAAAAGGCGCGCGGGGAACAGGGAGACGGCAGCTACAGGAAGCCCTCTGGGGCGATGCTGACCAATGCTGACTCGAAGCAAAGAGGCAGGCCGGCCCCCCTCCCCTAGCCTCCAGGCTCCCTCTCACCCACTATGGGCAGGTCCTTGCAGGGACCCAGCTGGCGGAGGAGAAAGTGCTGGCAGTCCTCCCCAGCCTCCCGGGGCCAAGTCTGGAGGGATGGGCTTGAAGCTGAGAGAAGAGGCCTTAGCTACTGCCACACTGTGTTTTTGTCGTTCTCCTCTGAAGAGGGCATCAGTGTGAGGTGGGTAGAGGAAAAGCAGACCGTCAACATGTGGATAAATTGGCTTTGGACAAGGGAGGCGATGACAGCTGTCCAGCTCTTCTCTGAGCTGGATAGATACGCCTGCACTAATAAATTTCAGGTCCGGGCACCACATTGGAGCATTAAAGGCCAATGGCCACCAAGGCCAGGCATCTGGTGACCATGTCTAGGATAAAGAACGGAGGGAGCAAAAAGGAGGCTTGAGCCTGGGGGAGAACAGGAGTGAGCAGAGAGACGTGGAGAGCAGTCTCAAATGTCAGGGGAAGGACATGTGCCGAGTGTCCCCTGGGCAGAACGAGGATCGGGGGGTGGAAATTAGAGGAAGACAGATTCTGGTTCAGCGTCAGAAAGAATTTTGTAGCAGCTGGAGCTAGAAATGGAATTGCAGGATCTCGAGCAGCTGCTGTCTTGAGTGCCCTCTAGATTCTGCACAAATCAGACGCGAGAACGCATCGGATGAGCCTGAAGTCCCTCCCGCCTCTGACAATATCTGGGTTTGCTGGATCTCCTGTCTGAAATATGACCTTCATCAACCTTATTAATTGTTGCTTAGCATCTTACTGAATTCCAAGGGCTTGGAAAATGATTATGCATTTATTTTTTTAGTAGTTCTTCAGTTCAGAGCAATTTAAAGAAAAATTCAAAGTTACAGGACTATTACCATTTTTAAATTTTATTCGAATTTCCTTCTATTTTTCAGTGCCACAGCCAAACCTCCTTGAAAACTCAAAAATAACTAATAGGCCTGATGGTTTTCCCAGCTTGGGGTTTATTGAGTTATACTTTTCTAATGCGCCTGTGATGGACCCTTATAGAAGATAGTTCCACTCCCTAAATTGGCTTGAGAATTCACACATATTTTGAGCTCGTGACATGAGACTCTTGCCAGAAGGAGTCTGGAGGAACGGGGTTTGAGATGGACGGCTTGTTGAATGTTTTCTAAGATGTTGGCATCTCTGTCCCTTGGTAAAAAAATCTGGTGAGGGGAACTAAAACTTTAGGCCCATTGCCGTGTCTCAGATCCCACGCTGTGACGAGGAAGGCTAATTGTCTAGGACTGGAGGTTGAAAAAAGAAGATTTAGGTGTTGTATAGACTACTTTGTGGAGTTCTGACATAGAATAGTTTGCTTATTTGTCTTTCAATATTTGACATTTGTCTCATTTAGAATAGGGCACAAGAAAAATGGAGAAACTTGGTTAATTAGTTTCTTTGCTTTATTGGCTTTCTATTAATAGAAATTCTAATCTATGCACAAGACATTAATCTTTATTTTTAAAGATGAAGATAGATGTCATCATCTGTGTGTATTGCAATAAATAAATGGGCAATGATGACCATTCCCAATTACATATTTATACACACTGTTCATTAGTTTTGTAATATTGGCTACCGTCTGACCGGAACAAGCCATAAATACTGGTCTACCATTCTTTATGGTTTCTCTTTGATCTTTGCTTCCTGCGGTAATGACCTTCTGCCCTTGCCCTTCCATTCCAGAAAAGGCCTGATATCAGTCACTGATACCTTGTTCTGAGTATGAATCATTATGTCCCCCATTTTGGAGAATTTGTGTATTATGCATTTGGTCACGTTGTGGGAAAGGAGGCTGAGTTGGGGAAATTCAGGCATCAGAAAGCAAAAAGGGAGAGGAATTTGTTTTAGGATGCAAGGATGAATGTGGATGTGCCTGAAACCACACTGTCTTTTTGCAAATCCGTTACAGGGACTCCCTCTGAAGGCCTGCCCAGCATATTCCAATAATATTCTGTTTCCTGCCGGCTGACACTCCAGCTCCCAACTGCAAGGTCACTTTTTTGAAGTTGAGTTTCATCTCTGCTTTGATGCATGGATGTATTTGAACTAACAGAACGTTCTGTCCCACCACTAACGTACAGAGATAGCATTTGCAAAGGCTGTGGAGCAGAGGCCCTACCAACAAAGACTTTTAGTTTGCTTTAATTGTGGCTGTCTTAATGCATATTGGTGGTTCAAATCTATAAAGGCTCCATGAGATAATGCAATTGTGCTAGAAAAAAAAAAAAACTTTCCAGTTTTATAAATTGGAGAAATTAATCAAATTAAAATAGTCTTGAGAAAGCTTTCAGTGGGATTCCATCCAAGTGGTTGACAAGATCTTGGCCTTTGAGATGGCATGGTGCCCGAACTCTTTCCCAGCTGCAGTCACTGTGGTTGCTCATCAAGGCTGCTCATCGGGCTCAGAGGAGTCGCCTCAGCGGCTTATTAGGAAATGACTGGTAATCGTAATAATATTAATAATACTAATTTGAATAAGTTCTAGATTAAAGGGCAGCTGTGTTGACGTTAAATCATCTTTTGATAATAGATTTGACTTTTAGAAATAGCCGGGAATTGTAAACCAATGAAAATATTGTTTTTCCCTTACCAAAATGACTGAAGAAAATGGAAACTCATTGTCTATTGCATTTCTTTGATTGGTCATGAAGTTTAAGATTTTTTTTTCGGGCTTTTATTGACCATGTGTTTCTTTTCCTGTGAATTGTCTTTTTATGTCTTTTGACTATTAATGACTCATAACGTCCTTTATATATGAAGGCTCTTAAACTTTTGTCATATATGTTTGATTTACTTAAGCAGTTTTGTTTGTTGTGTTTTCTTTTTCCAAAATAAAAATACCTTTATTGTCTTCATGCACCATAAGAATGTTACATGTTCATCACAAAAAAAAGAATCAAACATACAGAGAAATAGGAGGAAGAAAACTAAAAATCATTCAAAATTACATCACCAGAGAAAACCACTAATAACATGTTGGTAAATATTTTTCCAGACATCTTTGTGTGAATTAGAATTTTATAGAAAGCCGTTATTGAATGTATTTTGTTATGTAATATTTTATTCACTGATGTATATATCGTGGATCTTTTGGTCAATAGCAATGAATATGGACGTATATCATCCTGTTCATTACTACCTGCTATTCCAGTCTAAATGTGTGCTAAATCATTAACATTTCCTATTGTTGAACTTTTTAGTTGTTTCCAATTTTTGACTGTATTATAAACAAGAAATGGAAAACTTTGAACACATATTTTGGTGTACACTTTTCTGGTAATCTCCTGTCAATAAACTCTCAGAAGTGGAATTGCTAGACTAATTTTAAATTCAGACATGTTTTATCAAACTCTTTGCTCAAAAGATTGTACCAAATAGCACTCTTGCCCAGAATATATGAGAGCATCTTTTGCCCCATATTTTTCTCAACCCTAAGTATTCTCAATCTTTTAATTCTCTTTCCAAGCAACAAACCCACACATGTTTATTGTCTTATAGTTCTGGGGTCAGATGTCCTAAAACCAAGGTACTGGCAGGGCTGCGTTCCTTCTGGAGGCGCTGGGCACTTTCCAGCTTCTAGAGACCACCTGCACCTCATCGTCAATGGCCTCTTCCTCCATCTTCAAGGCCAG